TATAATTTTCCTTCTTTGATTTTTGCTTAAGTAAATTATTGAATTTTCATGTTTTTTTGTGAATCCTCTTGATAGCTTCCTTGACTTGATTTCTAGTATAATTCCATGTAGTTTATTTTTTAAAAAACCAACCTTTTAACCTTTATTGAGACTTCTGATATGAAGTTGTGGGAGGTTGGCATGTGGGAGACTCCCTAGGAGTGTGAAAAAATTGTGTGCCTCCAAAATAGATTGGCACCAACAGCTCAAAAATTGATCCATGCAAGTGCCGTCTAATGTAAAATACGTTTAATATAGGTTATCTACAAGCAGACCACTATAAAGGGTTTTATTTACTGTAGTTTCAACAAACTACTCAAAATAACCTGTTTCTCATGGCGCTAAGCCTGTAGCACAAACATGGACTTATAGTGCCATCTAGTGTCCAAATCGTAGAAATGACAGCAGGGTCAGTATGAGACAAAACCAGACTTGGGGAAAATTAAGTTTTATGAGTCCTTGCCTTATCAAGGATTTCTCTGGGTTTGGCAAACACTGTCCTGTCCGGGAGAACAGCTTGTTTTGCTGTAGTCTGGCGCATAGAGCAGCTAAATGGACTCTTGCTCCTCTTAGGCCCTGCTGAAGCCCAAAGCCCTCTGGAGGTGAGTTCTCCAGCTCCCTGCAGTAACCTCACACTGTGCTGTTCTGGCCCGGAGTTGCCCGCGCTCTCTATTGGCAGTTCTAGTCCGGCCTTAAGATCCATTATGGGCACTCCTGAAAGCACTCACCGCGTTCCCCTTGCTCTAGGTACCACCTATGCCCCACAGGCGGTCCTTCTGCAGGTAACGCCTGCGTCCCACAGGCGGTCCTTCAGGCCAAAAGGCGTTCCTTCTGCCGGTTCCGCCTGCGCTCCACAGGGGTTCTTTCTACTTGCCTGTTTGTGCCCCGCCCCACACGCCACTTTCCCCGGGTTCTCGCCACGTTGCAGGGGTTCTAGGTTCGGTTCTCATTCCACACGCCATGGTCCCAGCACTGAAGCGTGTTCTCCAGTGGCAGCCAAGAAGACTTCATACTGCCGGGTAAGTTCTCTGGAATGCCCGCTACTTAAATTCTTAATGATATATTTTGAGGAATAGTATTTTAATTTGGTGGAGTTCAGTTCAGCAATATCATCTTATTACAAGTTTCTCTTTATTTTTTTAGTTTGTGTGTGTGTGTGTGTGTGTGTGTGTGTGTGTGAGTGTGTGTGTGTGTGAGTGTGAGTGAGTGAGTGTTTGTGTGCCTGAGTCCATGTATATGCAGCACAATGCATACCAGAAGTTGTGAGCCACCATGTGGGTTCTGGGAACCGAACCTCCGGGACTTTGCAAGGGCAATCAGTGCTCTTAATGGCTGAGTCACCTCTTCATCCCTCCCCCCACCCCCAATTTTCTTTTTTGAAAAAAGTCCTTGTTCCTCCTAGGTGATGAATGTACTGTTTTCTAACAATTTTACTGTCATGTGATCTTATTAGAAAGATGTTCTTTTATTTCTAATTTATTTCTCCACAGCATGGTCACTTATTTCCACAATCATACCTTTTATTTATGCTTATTTCCACCCACTCTTGATCCTCAGTAGTATTTTGTTTCTCTATATTTTATTGGGCTTGTATTCTCAGTATCTTTTACCAAAGCAACTGAAGCTATTAGAAATGAAACCTCAAATCATCCTCTCAAGCAGGGCAATGAAAGTTTTTGAAAAAAGAAAAAGAAACTGAGGTAACTAATATGGTGAGGAAGGAAAAGCCATTGAATTAGATAGAAACTGTCATAAGGAATGAGGCTTAGTGATGAGGGTCTGGAATTCTAGCATTTAGAGGTGAAGGCAGGAGGATCAAGAGCTCAGATTATACTAGCTATATAGGGAGTTCGAGGCTAGCCTGGGCTACCTGAAACCCTGCCCTGAAAAGGAAAAAAAAAAAAAAAAAAAAAAGGAAGATGTCATATACAAACAGTATTTTCAAAATAATTTTATTTGACAACAGAAAACAAACTCCCCCAACTGGCTCATTGTGAAGTGTGCATGGCTTTAGGCAGCTTTTCCGTGCTAATATGCTGAGCAAGGTTTAACAGATTAGACATTTCACATCAGTTCACAAGCCCAAGTGTTTTCCATGTGTTTTAGCATTTTGATATAGATTGCCTTTAAGGATGCTGGATAGAGATAAAGCCACAGCCTTTAACAACAGATTTGTTCACAAGTTCATTTTTATTTTTGCTTAGTCAGTAGTCGTTTTGATGATAGAAACTGTTAAAGACTTTTAGTTACTTTTTCTTTGCCATTTTCCAGAAATTCGTTCCCCCATCCCTACCTGAAGAAAGGAATGTTATTAAGTCTTTCTGATATCACACATTAAAAGCCAAACATCAGTAATATTTCAGCTGTATCTGATGTGCAATTACAAGCAGTGAAAGCTTAAAACATTAAACTCCCAAACCTCTTCAACCCAGCTCCACCTACCTACTGAACTTTGTCATCTCTCTATTTCCTTGTCCATTTGTGACTATCATCACTGGCTTGCTAAGCAACGAATAAGATCCTCTTCCATTAGAGCAAATTGTGAATTCAGTTTTAAGGCAACTTAGGGTAAAGAACTCACATTGAATCATTTAATTAGACTTAATCATTAGGCTTAGGTTTGACCTTTTCTTTCACTCTTCCTCCTGTCCCACCCTCTGTGAGTGAATTAAAATAGAAAAGGCCAAAGCCCAGTCAGCCCTCCATTTAGAAGGCATTTTTAAATTTGTGAGTTGCTTAGTTTTGATATTTTTTTCTCCAATTTTTCTCAATTATTTCCAATTTATTTTTACTGTTATTAAATGTTATACAAGCGTGTTAAAATTTAAGCTCTATTCATCCACTGGCATTAGGAACTAGAACATTCCTAACACATGCTTTCTGCTACCTGAGATTCTTTCTGAAAGAGACCTACTCAGGCAGTTTATATATATCTTTATGTAAAAGGTCAAGAATTGGCCACAGAAAGAATTTGCAAATGTCTAGTAAAACAGGTTGTGGCTCAAATACAGGTTGTTTCCAAAGGCTAATACTAGGGAGAATACATTGAATTAGTTGGCTTTCATGCCTCCTGACCAGGGGTGGTCACAGCCATATGTAAAATAGGCATGGGTTAGAAAAACATAGAGTTTATCATACAGAATTCCAGCAAGTTGACAATAAAACCTAGCTTCCTGCTCATAGCAGTGACCAGGGAAAAGATATTAGGACTTAAACTTGTTATTTAGGGACTAAGCCATGCCTGATAACCAAAAACCAGGTGAAAAACAAAGTTCAGTTCCCTGGGAAGGAAGGCAGGTTTTGTTTTTAATGTCTCAGGAGCCAAAGGAAGGCCTAAAGGCCTTATATGCAACACGTTTCCAAATATACTTGTCGAATACATGAATAAATGAGAAAATGAATGAATTGTAACCTTCCTCCTATATTCCAGCCTGAGCCAGCTAAAAAGCAAGTGTCTTTCAGTCAAGAAAGTAGTTTATCTCTGATATAGAATCACTGTTTTCTTTGTACTTCCAAGTTAGATTATCTTTTGAAACAGATGCATTTTATAGTATTCAGTATCATCTTCTAGAGTATGTATAAATGAAAATATAGAGCGCTCTGTCTTGTTCCCACTCTACCAAGCATGCATACGAGAAGGGAATCTATTTATTTAATGCTCCTTCTCAGTGCTTCTGCATGTTATAGCTGCTTGGTAAGTTTTGGGGGGATTTTGTTGTTGCCCTAAGGGGAACGCTGTAGTTTCTTATTAAATGTGTTCCTATGTTTCCACCATAACTTTATGGTGCAATGCACTTTATTCAGATATAAGTTTTTATTAACTATGGCAAATGTGAAAATATTTTCTTATTGCTCACATGTCCCCTTGGCTTTAAGCCACAATGAGCAAATACCTTTAAAATCAGTTGATTCATCTTGATTGTCCTCTGAAACATTTCCACTATAAGAAAAGGAGAATGTGCAACTAATGAATTAAAAGACAAACCTTAATCCCATTTATCAGTCTCCTGGCTTCAAGCGAGGCCAGTGAGCAAAGAGCCTTTGGAGATTCTTGAACTAGGAAAATGTTTCCATTTTACATTGAATGAATCTTGCCCTTTTTTGATTTTCTAAATCTCGAAGGGAAGTCTGTGGATCTTTTAGACCACACCTACTTAAGAAATTAATTCCTCAAGCATGTTCACCTTAAAGTGAACAGCAGCAATCAAATCAAGATATTTCTACAGGCTGGGCATGGTGGCACACATCTGTAATCCCACCACTTGGGAGGCTGAGACAGGAGATTTACAAGTTAGAACCAGCCTCAGCTGCATAATGAGACTGTCTTGATGTCTCATCTTCAGCTGTGGTCAGTGATCCACTACTGTCTGTTACATCAGGTCCACCTCACATCTCTTACCTTTAGGACCTCGATTGGCATATTTCACATGAAAGATGCTTCAACAGGTGTTATTGTTCCATTGTGAAGTGTCCCCCATAGGCTCATGCTGAGTGCTTGGTCAACACCTGGCACTTCTATTTTAGGAGATGCTGGAAACTTTGGTAGATGGAGTGTAGTTGGAGTAAGTACTTCACATCTAGTGCTCTAGTTCCTTTCCGTCTTCCTGTTTTGTATCATTCTGCTTTCTGGTATCCATGAGGTGAGCAAATTTGTTTCACCATATTCTTTAAATGGGTATGGAATGGAACCACATGAACCACCTTTATTTTCACTCCTTTACTGGCAGAGTGGTTCTAATTCACTTCCAACATGAGCATTAAATATTTACAAACCAAATGGAAAAACCACACCTCATTTTAAAAGTTTTTCCATCTCTTTAATCAAACCCGGAAGGAACTATCATTTGCCAGACTATTCCAGTTAGCTCAGCATTTGGCACATTTTCTCCCTTTTCTTTGATCACAGAGTAAGGTTACTTCCATTCCGGAAAACTCCAAGCATTTGGTACGCAGTCAGCGAGGTTTTTTTTTTTTTTTTTTTTTTTTTTTTTTTTGCCTAAATCTCATACCTGCTGCTTCTTTTTCTCCTGTGAGTACTTCATAACAGTAGGAACAATTTTATATCCTAGGGTATGCACTATTGGAACTCAAGGTAATCCCTGTTCACTGGTGAAGCCAACAGTTAAATCCTATCTTTATAGAACTGCAAACTTCCTATATTTACATGCAGGCCTCTGTTGCAGGTTCAGTAACAATGATAATGAATTTTTGTATCTCCAGTTGTTGTGTCTGGGAATAAGAGCAAATAATCATTGCTCATTCAGCAATATTGCTTATATGTATGGTGGTGTGCAAATTATAGATTGATTTTGCACATAATTTGTTTAGATAACAGGGCACAGTAAAGATAGTTTGTCTCTGTATTCCGATGCCTAACAAGGGCACTGGTATATAATAGATGATTGCCATCAAGTCTTATGTTCATCAGGCACTGCATGCCAAATATATTACTTATATCCAGAGTATTTAAGAGTTAATACTTAATTTTTTAACTTATTTACACAGTATAATAAATGCAATGGCATTTTATAAGCCTGGGAATTAGCACCAAATCAGAAGATCAATAGTTATTCATATAGTACTTTTGAGTTCATGGAATGCTAACATATACATTCCTCTCCGCTGTGGGCACAATGAAATGTGGCAAGTCTGTGTATCTCTCCAGTGCCCATAAAAGTCAATTTACAAGATAGGCAATCAATATTGATTTATTAATGAATGCAACAGGTATTTAGTCTCTTCGTGAAAGATTTATTTTACTATGTTCCCAGGCTGGCCCCATGGTATGCTCTGCTGCTTTTAATTACCTGAAAGCTGGGGCATGAACTACCATGCCCAACTTACAAAGCTATTTCTACTAGCTTTCTCACTGTGCTCAAGAGTGCAATAAGAATTTTGTAGAGACCATGCTTATTTTATGAGAAAGAAAATGGGTAATGTCTTACATTTACATTTACCTAGTGCTTTATAGTTTAGATAGCAGCATACCCATAAGTCATAACTTTTTCCTGTTACCTAGGCGAATGTTCTAGTATTAACTTGCCCTCACCAGTGAAATCTTGACTGATCAAATAATCATTATCTCTTTCCTTATAACAAGTATAGAATATAAGCTTTCTTTTTATTTCATTGCAGAGTGACTTGAGAGAATTTCTCTTTGAGTTCGTGCACCCCAAACAATACCTGGCATGTAAGAGGTGGGTAGAATTCATTCATTCACACACATGTAACTATTGATATCTACATAAATGTTTTAGTTTATAACACACTTTAATAGCATTTTCTTTCTGAAATTTTAGGTCTATGATAAAATGCCCTCTTTGATATCTCTAAAGCCTAGCATGGCTTTTGGCACATTATATGTGATTACAATTGTGCAATCACTTATGCTTTTTTGTAGTTTAAAATCAATTTCTAATCAGTTTCTTTTCTGCTACCTGGCATAATATGTTTTTACTCAAATCACCAGAGCAGTAGAAACACATTGGCTCAAATATATGAATTATTCTTCAGTCAGCCTTAATTATGTTCACACAATATTATGATTTTTTGACAAAACATTTTTGCTTGCTCTTATAGCACAGGAGAATGCATAGCAAGGTATTAAGCATTCATTCAGCACTGAAACTTTTAAGTTTTCAAGTGCTTTATGATTTGCAAAGTATGTTTATACATTTTTCTTCATGTCGCCTGGATGTGACCACAATTAAGCATCACATCCTTAGTGTGTGGCACAAGGACAGGCACAGAGAAGGAAATTAATGATATTCAGACATATTCTCTGGCACTTATATTAGGGCTAGGTAAACTATAGGCAGTGGGCCAGATCCATTTAATTTCAAAGCTGACAATGATTCGTACCTTTTGAAAGGTTTTTAAAAACTATGTAACTGAGACCATGTGGCTCACAAAGTCTGTAGTATTTACATTCTGACCCCTTACAGAAAAAAGTTGACCCCTGATTATTCCTCCAGCTAAAATTATTTTTTCAGATGTTAGCCATGCATGATTGTCAATATGCTGTTACTGAGCACTTTGCTTTTTTCTCCTGTGATTTACAGTGTTTGGGTACATTTTATTAGTCGTTTAAGTCAACCTCTCCCACAAAGGGAGGGAGGCAAGAGAGGGAGTAAACCCATTAAATAGTCCCAAGTTCTCTCATCAGTAAGGCTAGATGTAGGTATGAAACCCGGGAATAGATTTGGTGAAATGCAGCAGATTATTTGGTCACTACTATGAGCAGGGAGTTCAGACTTCATTCTGTCCCAAGCCTAATTATTCTTTCTGTAACCATTACCAGACAGGCCAAACCCTGCTCACCTAAGCTGAAAGAAGGAAGGTGATGCAGGCTGGTGCCTCTCAGAAGGCTGGCACAACTGTGTGTTTCTTGTCTAATTTTCCTCAATGTTCTAGAGCAATTTCATGCTTTCTCTAGAAAGCTTAATATTATTTTCCCCTAGAAGCCTGATATTTTCCTCTTCTCATCAGCATAGAGCTCCTGAGGTAGGGGAGAATAGAAGTACAATGTCTATATGGATGCTTATTCTTAGGGGAAATAACAAAAGGTATACTAGAAATATTGGCTGGACTGTGTTGTCTCTCTCCCAAGTAGAGCAGATGTACAGAGAAATGGAAGTTTTAAAACACCAAAACTTTAACAAATGGCTAAAAACTGTGATTTAAAACAGACTAAAGATTGGCTCAAGCACAATATAAATGGAAAATATGTTCCTTTAAGGAAAATGGCAACATCAAAAAGTACATCTCAAAAGAAGCAGGCTTACATGTAAATCCAAGAACTAGAAGGGGAGAATTAAAACCGTTCAAGAGAAACAGTTTAACAATAGGTAAGAGCTGGGCTTAGGGTTCTCGTGTTCATATTTCCCCAGGTCTTAGTGTTTCGGTCCTTTCTGAGTTCTGGGTCACAGGCCTCCAACTCCCAGGCTTTAGACTGTTTCTTTTAGGCCATCAGTCCATGCAAAGAGCCTTCTGCTCTTAGGATTTAAGTGTTCAAACTGCAATCTTGGGCCTCTATCAGGTTTTGTGCTATGTGTCATAGGTTTCATTTCTTAGAGTTCATATGTGTCCCATAGAAACGGGCTCTATATCTGACTTGAGATTTGAGCAGTCCATCCAACTCAGGTAGGCCTTCAGTATCTTGGCTCTTGAGGTTTCTGTTGGTCTCAGGCCTAAGCTTCCATCTATGGTGAGACAAGTTTTCCATCTTAGTCCTTTCAGTCAAGTCACAAAACATATGTCTTCTACTTTGGGCCTTCTATATGCATTCATTTTAGGTCTTCTGCTCAACTTCCATCGTGACTGTAGTACTGCGTCTTAGTCTCGAGTCTTCTGACAGGGCAGCCTGGCACAAGGAACAGTTCCACAGCGATCTTTCTGCACCTCTTAGAGAGGGGCTAGGACACTCCTCTGTTACACATTTGACACAAACACACACATGTACATACATACATACATACAAAGAAATACCCAAGGGAGGATTACATTAAATCAAAGAGAGGGAGACATACACTCAAAAAGAGACTGAAACGCCCAAAGGTGAGTATAAAAGAAAAGGAAAAGTAGAAGAGAAAGAAACACAAGCACGTACAAGTCAACAGTAATGCTTAAATGAGCAATCACGAAAGCGAAGAGACGCACAGAAGAAACCGCTCAAGAGAGGCAGAAAGAAAATGTAAAAAAGAGAAGCATGAGCTAAGTAAAAACAACAGAAAGGAGGTCAGAATCAGAAAAGGTGAGATGTTGAATCAGCAAGAAGAGGAAGAAGTGACAAAGTTCACACACAAAAAAACAAATGAGGTAGGCACAAAAGGAAAGGAGAGGGAAAACATATAACATTTGACCCAAAGAAGAGTTGTAAAAGGAAAAAAGACTGAAAGAAGAGCCAGATGTAGAAGAGCAATGAGAAATAGCAACCAAATGGAAAGAAACAAGAGAGATACATCGAAGACAACACACAGATCACACTTAGGCACAAAAGGAGAAAACAGACAAAGATGTAGAGAAGAAAGTAGTTAGGAGAAACATGGGAATGGGTAAGACACATTAAATCAGAAGAAAGAAAGACATCTAAGGAAGACACAGACAAGCAAGTAAGACATAGACAAAACAAGTAGGAAATAGACAAAGAAGACAAGGAAGAAATGGACACAAAGCAAGGAAGAAAGACATGAAATACAAAACAAGACAGACAAAGCAAAGAAGAAATGGACAAAGCAAACAAAGAAGAAACAGACAAGCAACAAAGAAAGAAACAATCGAGGCAAGGAAGAAAGACACAAAACACAAGACAAGACAGACAAAGCAAAGAACTAGACAAAGCAAACAAGGAAGAAATAGACAAGCAAGAAATAGACAATCCAGGCAAGGAAGAAAGACACAAAACACAAGACAAGACAGACAAAGCAAAGAAGAAATGGACAAAGCAAACAAGGAAGAAATAGAAAAGCAAGAAATAGACAAGCAAAGCAAGGAAGAAATAGACACAAAAAGCTAGACACACTTGAGGGAAAGAACCAAGCAAAGTCCAACAATCAGGAAGGGTAAAAAGTAAGACAAAAAGCAAACCAAAAAATAAATAAATAAAGTGTCATTAGTATTAGGATAAGTGATAGTGTTAACCAATACTATTTACACTATGACCAATAATGATAATCACAGCCCACCACACTGACACAGATGCTCTTCTACTTATAAGCAAATTTTTACCTTGGGGGTTTCTTACATAGAGCTAATAATAATAACAATAAATGAAAAACAAACGTCAATTCTGCCCACCTCTAAGGGTTACTGGTCATTTATATTGTATCAAATGACCTTATTACAAAACTCCTGGGCATACCATCTACGTGCCACACGCCAGGTACTTTCCATTCATGATTTTAATTTAACCTACATGAAATACACAAGTCTTATCAGAAACTATACTATAAATTGCCAAAGGTCATACAAACTAGTAAGTAACAGAAAGGATTTCAACACAGAGTGTATGCCTCTCAATATTCTGTTATAAGTATTTACTAATTTCCATAAAAGCCAATTGTCACAGGGAGCTGCTTTTTTTTTTTTCTTTTCTAACTGAAGAGCCCTTAGACACCACCTACTCAATCTTCTCATTTTACAGCTTTATTCTCCCCATCTATTTAAGAAAACTGACTTGATTTTCACATCCTTCACAATTTTAATGGTTGCTTCAAGGTCTAGGTTTCTTTTTACACTAAATCTTAACTGTAGATAGATTCTCACAAATGGAGATGAGAAAGTCCATCCCTTCAAAAGAAAACAAATTATTTTTAAGGCTTCTCAATGCTTATGCCTCTAAGAATGATTGAGTACCAAGTTAAAAAAAAATTAAAAAAGGGAAAGACAAATAGAGGCTAAATTTCCTCTGTGATACAGCTGGTAAGCGCACTGTAAAGTCAGAGTTGCCTCAGTTAGCCTGGTTGATAATATGGGAGCCTGGTGCTCTTCCACTGCATATTTGGCCTCACTTCACATTAGACCACCATACTCTACCCAACACCACCTTCTAGCAAACAGAAATAATCAGAGGACTGCAACACCAGTAACTTACTCAATTCTATTATTTTAAAAATGCTACAGTGCCAGGCATGTTGATCTTCAGGTAGGAAAGCTGGTTTCCTTCAGTGTGTTTACATGTTTTGATCTTACTGAAGATTTAGCTTTCTGCATCACTTTTGGGAATGATTTGGCAGAGACCTACAGAATTAAAAAAAAAAAAACAAGAGAGAAGCTGTGTAAATGTCAGAAAGGTAAACCAAGTACTGTGCTAGAGTTACAGACTCTAATTAATGACCCATTTAAAAAAAAAACTTTCTGCAGTTTAGAAATCTGTAAAGTTCAAATTTTTAGGCCTAGAGTGAAAAAAAAAAGAAAAAAGAAAAAATTTCCCCACACAGCAATAGGAAACTATGGCGTAAATGGAAAAATGTCTTGCCTGTAATCCCTTAAAGAGCCACAGCTTCATATCTTTGAGGACCAGAATCCTGTTTACAATGCCAGTTGGCTAGGAAGGATTCCCTTAATGATTACTAGCTGAGATCCCCAAAACGAGAATAAAGGAAAAAGAAAATAGCATGTAAGAACAGAATTGCCAAGTTTGATTTATCTATCTTGACTTGGGACTAGCAAGTAATAGAGCAGCACTTCAGACCTTATAATCTTGCTCTCTGAAATACAGTTGAGTCACTCTCGAAAGTGCTCATTCCCAGTAAGACAGTCTACATGGGCTGCTGGCCCTAAAGATTCTGAGTATAGGGCTGGAAGGATAGCTCAGCAGCTAAAAGCACTTGCTGCTCTTGTAGTAGTTCTGTTCCCAGCACCTTCATGGAGGTCACAACCAGCTCTAACTTTTATTTGTGGAGATCTTCTGCCCTCTCCTGGCCACCTATAGTACTGCATGCCATGGTACACGTCTATGAATGCAGGCAAAACACCCATAGACAGAAAATAAAAATAAAGATTCTGAGTTTAAAAGACAGATCTTCCTAAACAATTGTTTCATTAACTATGTAACAAACTGTAACTGCATTTATTTATTTATTTATTTATTTATTTGTTTATTTATTTATTTATGGAGTTTTGAGACAAGAGTCTTATTACTATATAGTCCTCCCATGAAAATACTATATGGAATTTATGGAACTTTCGCTCTTCCTGAGCAATGCCAGACAATGCCTATACAACTAGGCTTTGCTGCACTTAACATTCACCTTCATCTCCCACCCCTCAACTCCCTAATCAGCCTCTCCCATCGCTCACCTAGAGAGTGTAGTGTTCTGGTTCTTTAAATTCTGTCCTGGTCAGGCTTTCATTTGTAGTTAGAGGCTTTTATTATCATTAATGATAGTGTAAAAGGGTAACTTTTTATCTTCTCAAACAACTTATTATATATTATATTCCATGGGTATTCAATGCATCTTGAAGTATGTAAATGACTGGTAAAGCTTTCCTATAGAGCTTCAAAGGAGACTTTGGGTAGCAGATCATTCAAACAGAATGACTTGCTTATGAAGGCGGTGCTGCTTATTATGTAGCAGTTTTTCTCCCAGAAGAAAGAACAATTTGAACAGTTTAGTTATAGGCCTCTACTATGTCCTGTAGTTCCACTCTAAATGCCTAACTCATGCAGCCTGCTGCCTTCCTCATTCACATTCTCACTTTCACAGTCTTACACAGACCAGCTTCTCTATTAATTACGAAGCTGTTCTTATCAAAGCAGACCCAGAGAGATGATAAATATAACCTAAATCAAAGGCTAACAATAATAGAAAACAAGATCAAAATTTAGACTTACTTATTACACTTTTCCAGACAACAACTTACCTATCTTGATGTGTGGTGGTTGTCTTTAGGTTTCATCTTCCTATCTAGGTCCAGCAAAGTGTCTTACTAAAACCCCCTGACTTAGGGCTGTTGCCCAGTGATACTGAGCTATTCCCCTGGAGGATCCTCATGCCCCATCACCACCTAGGGATCGTCAAAGGGAATAGGTCACTAACACTGAAAAGCAACAAGCCTGTTCTTCTGGGGGAAGATCTGTAGAAGAAATAAAAGAAATGAAAATGATTAAAAACAAGTACACTGGGAAAGTTTGTCATTCAACTCAACTAGTAGTTGAGTTAAATCATGTATTCTTTTTTCTTTGTATGGATTAAGGGGTGGACTCTAGAGATTTATAAAGCTCCGCTATGGCTGTTAACCTATTGATATGAGAATCACCCCATCCTAGCTCCTTTCTGGGTACTTCTCATTTCCAACAGAAGTTTAGAGCTGAATGATTACCAAAACTTCCAGCTTTAGTCTCTATTCTCTTCCAGTAAGTAATCCTTTAGAATGTACATTATTAATGCCCTTGTACATTCATCATCAAATATACTGGGGCCTGGAGGGTCAGAGTTGAAATCAGCAGAAAGAAAAGCCAAAGCTTTCTCAACCAAGAGAGCCATGATGCCACTTAGAAAAAACTCCAGATCCTATGAGTTCCATAAGAATCCTCCTTCACATTGCTGTAAGAATCCCCTTTCACATGTTTATTTTAAAAGCTGAGCAATCCACACTAATCATAGTGTCTGTCGCCTAGTTATGCAGTATTTCCCTCTTAATTCGTACTTTAAGTAGTATCATCCCAGAATACAACCAAAGTAAGTAAGCAGAATCATGTTCTATACAATTCTCATGGTGCATCCCTTGAGCAATTGATTTAATGTGGCACCTCTACAGTTCTAGGATATTTAGAGAAACCAGAATTTTCACAATCCTATAGAACCTCATCTATGATAATAGCGAACTATGCTATGGAAGTTTCCTCTGGTACAAAAGGCCAGGGATCCAGAGACTAGCTGACACAGGCCAGATTCTAACTCTAACGTTTAGGAATTTCATTGTTTTTCATATTAAGAAACATATTAAGAAACCCTCAAGAGTGACCGTGGAATGAATTAAGCATTCCAAAACAGAACTGATGTAGTTCAAGTTGGTACTATTCATAAGCAGACCCTAAGAACTCGAACTTCATACTAGTTGGCCAAAGGAAGGTGAGAATGATCACAAAGCCTGACCAGAAAGGCAGTTGTCTCACTGGCTAACTAGCTATGTGGTGAGAAGGGAAATGATTTGTTAATTTGAACCTCTCATTCTTCATTTATAAAATGTAGATCAAATATGCTTACCCTTGCCAACCTCACTGGAGCCCACCTCTGAAGAGAAATTTGCCAAATACGAAATAGAAAGTTAAAATGTATGTATACATGCAAGAAGAAAATTGTATAGAAATTGCTGATTCTTCTTTTATAAAAGAGCTGCAGAAAGGTAAAAGCCCTTAGAGCCAGACAGAAGCCAACAACTGGAAGGTTTCCAAAGTACCTTTTTCTTCAGGTAGCCTGCAAGGTATCCACTCAGCTAGCTGGACCTTGGCGAGACCCTCAAAAGAAAGAGCTGCTGAATTTGGAGCCTAGCATCAGCTGCTTACAGTCCTTGAGTCTCATGCTGGGAATGTCCTTATGAAGAAAGACAGGGCTGTCATTAGGTTATAAAAACTGTTGAGAAAACTCAAATGGCAAAACAAAACAACAAAAACATCTAGGAAGTATAACCTGCCACATTAGACACTTAAGGGTAGAGATTATCTCAAGCAGTTAATTGAATTACAACTCCAAGACTCACTTTTAGGTTCTTCTAAATGAAGCCATCCTTCCTCTTGAGTCGGGGTACAAAACCAGCTCCAAATTCATCCCTTGAAAAAAAAATCCCAATGATAATTATATGTTGATAGTGAATGATAATTTGATTAGTAGTTATACACCATTTCATAAGTATAGACCAGTGTTTCTCAAATTGGAGTGGTAAGAACTTGGGGGGGTTGTGGATATATTCTCATGGACCCCCCCCCCCACGTTCTAAGAGTTGTAAAAAAAAAGAAACTTGCCTTTCATGGTAGTTTGAAAACATGTTTGTATTTCAGGGAACTTTCATTTCTTTTCCTTTTTTTAAAGTGGGTGGATTTTTTTCTGTTTTTTATTTTTGTTTTGGTTTTTTTGTTGGTGTTTTTAAACTTAAGTGAGCAAGTTCCTTGGTGACAACACAAGCAGAGCCACCTTCCCCAGAGATCATCCAGTGGATTAAAGGGGAGGGACAGGGGGAGTAAGCCCATCAGACTGAGATAGTGAGGCATAGGCTGGATGGTGGACAGGTCATGCAGGAGTGCATGCGTAGAGCTCTAGTCTGGTTCTGCCACAGGGTTTTGCACAGCCAGCTGGCAAATCCATTTCTTCCACTTCACACAACTTCATGAAGGTATAGTTCATAAACATCTGCAGATCCACTTGTTCTGCTAGGTTTTTTATTTACAAATTCCTGGAAGTCTGAGACAAGCCATTGGGCAGCTTAGGGGGTAGTTCATTCACAAGTCCAGGCAGCCTGAAAATGATGAGGGCTGGCCGGCTGGCCATCCCATGACTGCTGACGGTGGGGGGGGGGCGCTGAGGCAAGGCAAGATTCTGTACAACTCTTTGTATCTTGTCAACCATAGGGGACAAAGATCCTTAGTTTAGGGGGATGTTATCTCATAATAGACAGCTCTACCGGGGACAGGCTCATGCTCCAGGTGCCCTACTACACAAAGTAGTGGGTGCTTTACAGTGCCTCTGGGGTTACGTAGGACCAGGTGACCATGAAGGAATTGGCCATGATCAGTGACCTGCCTGCTCACCCATAATTATGTCCTACACCCTAATCTCCCTTTCAAAGTTTACAGGGATGCTGGAGGGCTTCATGCCTTGGTGTATGATCTAGTGTTTTTCTTGCAGGTATGCCACACTCCCAGCTCCCATATCCATTTGAAGTCATCTTCCTTGAGCTCTTTGGCCTTATCTCTCTAGATGAAGAAAGTCTTCAGTTGTATCCTCTGTTGCTTGTCCAATTCAAACTCCTCCAGGTTCTTCTTGCGAAAAATGCTTACTTGGGTAATGCCTTCACAGGTAAGGGACTGGCCCTTGGTGACAGTGGGCTTAATGGTGAGTACCAGCAGCAACAGCTTCCTCCAGGCCAGTGTCTGGACTTCATGAGTCAAGGCCTCTATCTAGGTCCATAGGAGATTGGCTACAAGCTCCAGGGGCCTAAGCAAGCCTGGGTGTGGGTGATGGACTTAGCCTGTACTTTCTGGGGTGGCCAGGGGTGCTGGTAGCAAAGGGAGCCCAAGCCTCTTAGCTTTCTTAAGTCAGTGTTCCACCAAACACACATTCCTTACATCTCGGAAAACTTTGTTCCTTGGAAAATTGTTTCATTCTGAAGCATTATGTGAGCTGGAGAAACAGTCCACGGATCCAAAATGATTCAATACTATTATATGTATCATCCCTAGCCAGCCAGCCAATGTTGTTAAGCTTCAGGGGAAGGGAAGAGCAGGGAACAAACTGTAGGGAAATGCAGATAGGAATGTTCGGTGTTAAGAATATTTTTTTCAGTTGGACTTTAGTACTTGTTCTACATCAGGAAAAAGTAGTATTTTTTTGTGTTTTTTATTTTTCAACTTGCCATAGTGCCTATTGAAAAGTGTGGCGAGGAAGAGGGTATATAAACAACAGCAAAAAGTAGACCATATCAGCTTTTGTTTATAAGTCTTATATGTCCCTATAGCCCTCTTATCAAAAAGATTGCAAACTAAACAGTATTTCTGATCTGTATTATTCATGGTCATCTGTTCTTGGGCAGAAACAGAGTAAAGTGGTTGAAAGAGCCCAATTATCAAATTTATAGCCCAATTCCTAAACTGAATTCCTATGCTCAAGCTTCTGAGACTCAGTAATCACCATTTGCCATCCTTGGCATAAAGTCTACGTAATAGCTAAGCCCTTTTCCCTGAATATCTTTCCATGCCTCCCAAGGAGGTAAAAAATGGATGACATTAAAATAAACTAACTAGACTACCCAGATAACCGCAGTACTAATCATAGCCTGAAACAAAGGGAAAAGTAAGCCTAGTAAAAAGTAATAAGCCCTCTTTCTTTATCCTATCAACTTCCTACCCCAGTGAACTCTCTTTCTAAAATACTTAAAATTCACAATACTTGAGCATCATTCTCTAAAATGATATCAAATATATTTATAATATATTAGGTCTTCAACAATACAACCACCTCAAGGATTAAATTATATAAACTGTCATTTCTCATTTCAGTGTACCGTAGCATAGGGCTGGATACACAATATTAATTCTACAGTTTAATTGATTGTAATGATTTAATTGATGTAATATATATGTACATACATGTACATATAAATTCCACATAAGCTGAGAAGAGCCAGCAACCTATTAGTCACTCCGACTTTTCTATGGGTGGTACATAAGAGAAGGAAAATTGAATGAGAAAAAGACTACTGAATAGCTACAAAGTAGTACTTACAGTATTCTAAACAGGCAAATTCTTATAGCTGTCCGAGGAGTGGCAGTTCATCCTGGTCCCTGCCCTGGGCGAATTTCTTGACAACTTTCTTAGAGGAATAGTATCACTTTTCAGTGACTGCCAAGAATTGATGTTGTGATGCCTATTTTCATCAGCAGTTCCATATTACTCAGTGGCTGGCCAATCAACAGTTCCGCCTGGCTCAGCAGGTGAAGACACTTGCTGCTAGGCCTAACAACTGGAGTTGGATCCTCAGGCAGGACCCACATTGTGGTGAGAACCAACTGCCGCAAGTTGTTCTCCAATCTCCATGCTCGGCACGTGCACGCACACACACGCAAACACAGACACACACGTAATAATTTTTTAAAAATTAAATACTCTAGGCACAAAACACACTTCACACTATTGGCTGGGCTATTAACTTTTTACTAGGCAGATCTCTCATTTTTGAAGTTTATGCACAAAAGAATGATTAGATCTTGACTTAGATTTCATTTCTCAAAACAGAAAACGGTGAAGCAGGTTCCATCATTTCTAAGATAAGTTCTCACTTTAAAGTGGTGCTTCAAGCTACTTCAAGTGATTACCAGAATTAAATAATGCATCTTATATAGTGAATAAACCAAATATGGTGGCCTATGATTTTCAAGAGCAATTTAACATATTTTCTTTAATTTAATCCTTTTACAGCCATTTTCTTAATATAAGTAGAGGCTGGTGCTCAGTGATGGTCGAAATTTAAAGATTAGAAAGTTTAAATCATTTTCCTAAAAGGTAATAACAGTAAAGGCCACAGAAAGGTTGGTTTTTAAGTGGTACTACAGACCAAACAAAGATACTAGTCTTAGGCATGCCACTCTAGAACTCCTTTGAAATAACAATAACACAGCAGTCTATGGACAGAGTCATCCCCCTCAGTAAAACAAGAGACACAGGTCATTAGATATAGTATAAATGGATTTTTTTTTTAGTTCAAAAAATCCCCTAATGACCGGATTATCAAGTCTACCTCACAATCCAAATGTCTTTCTTCAGAAATAAAACTAACAACAACTTTTTTGGCAATTGGCACTGTATAGTAGCAATATACAAACTTAACCACCCAGAATGTGCCAATAATTGAAATTAAGATAATTAATAGATCCAAGAGAGTGAAGGTTCATCCACCTAGTTTAGGCCTGCTTTTGAAAACACATGTAAATACATTTAAATGGTAAGAATATCTTGGCTGAATGGTCTGGAACGTGGGACAGTCAATCAGTACTGTGTTCATTAATGAGACACAGAAGACTCTTTGGGTAATTGCCATTACTCAGAAGTAATGCAAAGGAAATGGAGGGCTCCAATGGGTAGGATCAAGGAAAGTGAAACCAAAATATTGCATTCCTTAAGTGGGTAAACTGATGCCTTCTGGGATTATTGACTTAAGTCCAAGAGAAGGGCCTTGCCCAGTCAAGACTACCCAACAAGAGGCAGAAGGGGCAGAGTGATGGACCTGGGGACAGGGAACAAAATCTTTCCTGATGGCCAGATTGTGAGAATTAATGGTCTTTAAAAGTGGTCCATGGACAGGAAAGGGGCTGAGGAGAAGGAAGATCTTGTATAAAGTGTATAAGATTATGGCTATTTGGGATTTTATGTATTGGAACAGTGCAAAAGGGACAGAAATAGGGCCGCTGTTGGATGTAAAATACATGGAATACTGTAATATTTACACTTTATTATACCAATGGGAAACTAGAGGTGAGATTACGTGCTTAATAAGCCAGGGTGGGAAATAAACCATTGACCATTGCCATTGTGCCTATTAATAGTCCCAAGATAAGTTTTAGAGAAGAAAGCAAGCCATTGGTAATAGTCATTGTGCCCATTAACAGTCCCAGATGTTTTAAGTGGACCAGCAGCCCCTGCAGTAGTACATAGGGGCTGTGAGAACACAGTATCCTAAGTGTGCATGATTGCAAATATTCATATTAACAATCCAGAGGCTTAGTTGATCAGTACCCCTGATGTATGCAAAGAGGGCACAGGGGTCCTTAGTAATGATCTGTACTCTTGATCATTGATTGATATTCACATTAATTATCCAAAATCTGAGGTTATAAAGAGTTAACATTCTTCAACAGCAGCAGTCAAAAGGAAGGAACATAAGAATCTTTTCTTCTAGGCAGGTCTGCACACATAATAATGCATATTAATATTCACTGAAGAAGGGCTCATAAATAGTTAACATGCCTCTGATGTAAAAGGAATATGAGGCTGTAAAATCCTACTTCGAAAAGTGGGATGAACAGTTGCATTAACACACACTGAAATCCAAAAGGAGGGTGCTGAGTAAAAGCATCTCTCTGCTTTAAAGCAAAGAGGGCACAGGAGTTTTGATACAAGTTATGTTCAGAAAATGGTTTGCGCACGTTAACTTTCCAAGTCAGAGCATCTTGAGTAGTGGCACTTCCTGCTGAAAATGCTAAGGCAGTAAATGAGATCCTTTTCTAGTGCACAGAACAGGAGGAAATGCAATTGTACATATTAACAGTCCAAAGGAAGAGGCCTTGGTTGATCAGCACACTCTGCTGTACTGTAAAGGAAAGGTGAAGGGGTATAATCTTTGTCTACTGACAAAGACAAAAGAAAATTTCTATTATGTATATTAATGGTCCACTAACAGGGACCTTGTTGGGGGGGGGGGGACCAGCATCCCTTGCAGTAGTGCAAAAGGATATAATGGTCCTAAAAGTAACAGGGTTGTGGACAATTACACATTAAGTGTCCAAACATAATGTCTTAAGCAGTGGGCACTACTTATTAAACGGCAGAGGAAGTCAGAGGTGGGATGCTCATGTCTGCTGCTTAAGAATCCACATGAATGCAATTCTGCACATGAACAGGCCACAAAAAGAGAACTTCAAGGTCAGCAGCCTTGAAGAGGGTAGAACCTTGGATAAATTGGATGAATCATGTCCTGATTACATACATTAATGTTCAAAGGACATAGTGTGGTGAATTAAAACCACATCCTTTATACAAATATTAAGATCTTAAAGTACTGGACACTCTCTCCTGAAAATCAAAGAGAGTAGGGAGGAGAAGATATCATTATCTAGTGTCCAGTTTTATAGAGAAGCAAAGAGGGACCATAATGACCCTTGCTGTACTGCAAAAGGGTCTGAGAGTCAGATCTTAGTCAAGGGAAATGAGTCATGTGCAGTTAATGCTAAGACTTGAAATGCATGGTTGTGGCCATTACAGTCTTACACCTCGACTGTTCAAGCATAAGGGTCCTTGACAGTATGCGTTCCCTGCTGGAAGGGAAAGGCAGAAGGACAGGGAATGACTTCTCTGTAGTGAACTGAAAAGAACAAATGCAATCAGACATTATTAGTGGGCCACAAAATGGGACATTATTATAAGTCACTGCCGTACTTCAAATCAAGGGTGAAGTTTATCCTCATGCAATTGTCATTATGCGCATTAACAGTTTGAGAAAGGGACCTCAAGTTTACAGCATCTTAATTCCATAAATTGAAGAGAGTATGATTGATCAAATAGAAGTCTAACTTGAAGGACCATTGACAATATTGAAATCATTTCTGTCTGTAGTCTCGAGAAAGGGACTTTATATTAGTTAGCCCCCTTGCTCTGGTTAAGTACAGGAGTCGTGATCTAAAAGGCACAGCAGTGAACATGAGAATATGTACAAAACAACTAACATTGTGCGTGTTTACTAGTTTAAGGATCTTAAGTAGTAGGCACCTCCCATTGCAATAGAAACAGAGTGCACTGTGTGCATACTAACAGTATTGTTAACAGCAAAATGAAGTATGCACATTCACAATCAGAGAGACTGCAGAACATGGTGGTATACACTAGTATCCGATTACAATATCCTGAGTTCAAAGCCAGCCTAGGAGACATATTAAATTCCAAGTCAGCCTGGAAGTGAAAAACAGGACAGGAGCCAGGATTGAATCTTGGTTCCTTTGAAGCACCTGCAGTAATGCAAGTGGACATAGGAAATAGGATCTGACTCTTATTTATATAAAGGGGCATAGACTACTGTCAGTTACATGTGTTAAGCAGTGTACAACAGGCATGCAGGCTCTTACAAAAAGTAAGTATAAACAAATTCGATGCCAGGGTAAGTTTTTGGTCATTTACTATCCAACAGAAAGACTTCAGGTGGGTAGTATCCCCTCCTATAGTTAGAGAATTCAGGATGTTAGCTTATTGGGAGGGACAATAAATAATTACAAATACATAAAGAGCCCCAATTTAGGCTAGTAAGTGGGAAGATAATGTGAGACCAGCCTGGGCTACATAATGAGACTCTTGTCTCAACCAAAGGCTGGGGATGTAGCTCAGAGATACAATGTTTGCCTGGCATGCACAAGTTCCTGGTTCAATCCCCAGAACCACAAGAAAGTGTCTCAGTTTAGGTTATTAGCATCGCTTGCTATTATGTAAAAGGGGTAGAATTGCTTTAAAGGACCATGTATACTGGAATTTTTTACATTCATAGTCCCATGAAACAGTAACCATTTAGGTAATTAACACCCCTTATTGTAAAAAGAGAGCACAGGAGACTTGGTCATAAAGATACAGTCTTAGTCATTTGTCATCACTGGCATTAGTTATCCTAAAGCAAAAATCGAGGTAGAAGTCATCACTGCTGAATATGAAAGACATGACTGAGCGGTGGTATTTATCCAATGCTCAGGAAAACAGACAAGTGCAACTATGCATATTAACAGCACAAAACACAGAAGTGCTGGCACATGCCTGTAATTCTAGTGCCTTGGAGGGAGAAGCAGGAGGATTAAGTGCCAGGTCACCCTTGGGCTCCATAAGGAGATCCTGTCTCAAACAATGACAAGCTGGGGATGTAGATCCATGGTACAGTACTTTACTAGTATCCACAAGACTAGGTTCGATTCTCAGTACAGCAAAAGGCCAGAAAAAGAAGTGGCCTTAGTGGTTGGCAGAGACTTCTTTAACTGTAGTTTCACATAAGTCTATGAAAAGGGACTTTAGGTAATCAGCACCCTCTTGAGGTAAAGCAAAGATAGTGCAAAACCTTTATATAAAAGATTCAGTTCCTAATCAGGATTGTTCACATTAGCTGTTCTAGTACAGAGGTCTCAAGTTGCAAGGGTCCTCTGCTGAAATAAAGGGAGTGGATGTGGCTAGTGCACATATCATGGACATGAGTTTATGCATATCATCAATTTAGAAGAAGTGGCCTGAGGCAATTGTGCCATTTCAGCATGCAAATAGGATATAGTGGCCCTTTTAATGGGCAAGGCCATGATAATTGGGACTGAGCACATTAACTGTCCTGTAACAGACTTGGGTCTGCCCCCTCTACTCAATGTAAATGGGGTTGGACCAGGGTCTAATCCAATGGACAAATTGTAGACAATTAGAATTTCACAAGTTGCAAAGAATGGTCAGTACAATATGTAAGAAAAGACAACTGAGCATTGCTCAGAAATTTGGGACTGTGACTACTGCAGCAATGACAGAATGGTTCTCCTTCCTTAAGGACAGGAGATTGGGAAGATGGTAACTTGACTCACTGATGATAATTCTCTGGTGAAGCTCTTGTTCAATTACATTTCCTAATTAACATATGAGGAACAAGAATTCTTTGTTCTTCTATGAGACCATGGACAAATGTGACTGTGTGCATTAACTAAAAATGGTGAGTCAGTCAGTCAACATGGAGGAGATAGACAGGGCATCTCAGTTTAACAGGATGAGTAATGGACACCTTACTTTGAGCACCGAATCAATGAAGATTGGCATGTCTCTATGGAGAAGCAGGGCTGGGGCTGGGGCTGGGGCTGGGGCTGGGCTGGGCTGGGGCTGGGCTGCAGGACTGGGACTAGGGCTGGGCTGGACTGAGTTGGAGTTGGAGTTGAGCTGGGGCTGGGACTAGGACTGGGGCTGGGCTGGGGCTGGGCTGGGGCTGGGGCTGGAGCTGGGGCAGTGGCTGGGGATGGACTGGGCCTGGGGCTGGGGCTGGGGCTGAGGAAGGACTGGATGGTACAAAGGCAGGAAACCATGGAAAGTTGAAATATGGGCATTAATACTCCAATAAGAAGTGAGATAGAGGACACCAGACCACTGTAATTCAAGGTTCCTGCATGATAAAATCATTAGTCAATTATTGTAGCAATTAAGGATGAGAACAAAAGCAAAGCCTGGATTGGTTCAGACCTTCAGATGTTCCTTTTTATGTTCAAGCACCACATTAATTTTATATTAACTATATGCCATAAGACTCGTACATTTTTTTAAAGAAGTCATTTGATAAGCCAATTTCAAAGATATTCATATTATTTAGTATTTAATGTACTATCTATTGCCAAAAAAGTTAATGAAGTTCTGAAAAGAAACTGAAATCTTTAAGGATTCTGTAATAAGAACTCATTAAAATTAAAACAAATTTGACAAATAAATGCTCATAGATACGTTTCTATAATAATCAAGATTTAAATTCAAACACTAGCAAATCACATAATCAGATTTAGGATTGAGGTTGAAATCTGATCCCAGCATTAGCCACTGGGTAGGTGGGCTTCTAAAGGAAGGCAGGGGGTCTGCCTCTCAACCAATGAATGATCTTTGGGAAACCATTTTGACTTTGGTCAAGGTCACCACACCTGTAATAAATACCTGCTTGAGATCACAGTACAGATAAAATCAGCGGCCAGAGAGTGAGTAGACTAGTCTCCGGCTATGCCCCAATATAGATGAATAGAGTGAGATTAGGCCTGAACAGAGACTACAAGAGGCCATCCTGGGCAAACAGGAGAAGTAGATAGGACAAATGTCCTTAGAATGATTTATATGATCTGTGGTTTTACCCACAGGGAGAGATTACAATGTGATCTCTGCACTAATTCTTTTTTTCTTTTTTTTTTTTTTTTTTTTCCAGTTAGGGTTTTGCTGCATAACCTACAGTGATCTCAAATTCAGAGAATCCTCCAGCATCAGCCTCATGAGGACCCCTCAATCCTTCTAGGACCTCAACCTTTCAAGTATTGGAATTATAGGCATGTGCCTCCACACCTGGCTAACAACTTCTGAGTAACAAATAGAAGACAGCTGTGAAGTACCAAGCTAAGTACTCGAAGGACAGTGAGTCATCACAGTCATCAATGCCATCCTCTCCATCAATTCGTAGTGCCCATTTCTGACAGGTAAGACTATTCGTCAATCAACACTTCGAACCAACTTGTTCAGCTTCGAGTGATACAAGGCAGAAACCAGCCATCACACTTAAACAATGCAGTAAGTTCACCTTGTACAAAACCCGCCAAGACTGTACCAAAGAAAGACCGTCAAATTGATCACGTGACAAGCCGCCATTTTAGGCACTGGATAACACGTGCCATAACTGGCATGTAAAAAACAAAGAACCAGCTATATTTATACCACAATAAGACCTTCAAACTCCATCTTTTGCTTTATGACTGAAACTCTCTATGGCCAGCCACGCTACATGTCAGAACGAAGGTGTGGCTTTCGAGCCTCGGGCACCCACAGTTACCCGATCAGCCTTTTCGTAGAGCTTAACTGACATGTGAAGTGACTGAAATTTCCATTTTTGAGCCGCATCCGGATGTCCTCTCATATTTTTCACCTAAAACCAGGCACTAAGACAGAATGACCTTCCTTTTCGCCTCCAGTACTGCAATTCACACCAAGCTCCAAACCAACTCCAAACCAGCCTTTAAAGCCTTCAGCTCGTGCGGGACACATCACTTGCCTCTTGTCTGGCACACTATCCATTTCATCTCCTTAATTTATGCTTATATCTGGCTTGCCTTCAGCCAGGTCATGCAGCAAATATAAGATGGCGGACACTTTTTCTCCGCGCCCTTAATACCCACTCAGCTTAATCGCAGTCATCTTTCTATGCCATAGCTTCACTCACACACCACTAAACGATCAGCAGCAGGAAAAAAAAGTGTAGATATTCCAGATATTGCAACAACTCACAACCCAATACATTTCCATCCCGATGGGCAACGAAAAAAAAAATGAAAGCAGGTATCCACAGCCCCGATGGGCAAAAAGAAAAGAAGAAAAAAAAGAATTAAAGCAGGTATCCAAGGCCCCGATGGGCAAGGAAAAACGAAAGTAAACGCAGGTATCCGAGGCCCCGATGGACAACAAATACATTTTAGAAAAACAGGTATCCATTGCCCCGATGGGCTAAGGAAAAACAAAATTAAAAGCAGGTATCCACAGCCCCGATGGGCAGATTTACCAAAAGAAAAAGAAAGAGAAAAGGAAAAGGAAAAAAAAAAAAAAAAAAGAATTAAAACGCAGGTATCCACAGCCCCGTTGGGCAAAAGGGGGAGAACAGGTATCCATGGCCCCGATGGGCAAAAATATGGAAATGGAATAAAAGAAGGCTGTACCCACAGAAACAGGTGTCAGCCAAAAGGCATCATAATGAAATAGTCCTCAAAAAATGAAAATTCACCTAGAAATATTCCAAATCCCCAAAAAATATGGAGGACGTGTCAAGAAGACACCACCAGAAAGCATCGAATTTTGAAAAATGTTTTATGAAATTTTTGCATATTTTTATAGAGGACACCATAACATGTGGTGGGGGGACCAAAAAATGTTCTCGAAGGATCCATTATATGGACAGAGACCACTTAAAGACCTCATATCCACGGGATCCTCACAAATATGGCTGCAGCAAGGAGTTGCTCCATTTTATCCGAATGGGGGAGCTGAAGGCGGAGAAACCAGAAGAGGAGTGGCCTAAAATGCAGAAAATCCGACATCTTACTGGAGAGTTAGCTTAAAATGTATTACATTTGAATAAAAAATCAAATTTAAGAAAATATGACAATACCAAAACTCAACCAAGAAGCAACAAAACGTCCCTTTCATTATTTTATGTAATAGTGAAGGATTATCCTCTACTTTATAGAATATGAGAAAGTCACATACAGGGTAGTTGATGTTCAAAAGGTCATACACCATGTATATGTACATTATGTACATTTTCCGTGCATTTTCTACTCCAACATTCAACATCCAGTGGTTCCTCAACTTGAAGGACCACTAGTACTTCTGAGTTAATTAGTACAGAAGAGTGAAGGAAAAGGAGAGGGTATATCACAAAATGGCTCCATGATCCCTAAATGATCAGAGAGTTGGTTGAGAACCATTTCTTGAACCCTTGAGTTCTTGGGTCTTACCCTCTTCCTACTTTCTCCAAGAATCTGATGACCTCAAACTTTGGAGCAATCACGAAGTGTAGTGCCCTCATTAACAGTATCTATTTGCAAAATTGTTTCTGAAAGTCAAAGCAGAAGTAGGTAGTGTAGAATATTGCCCCAGGAATCTTCTTATCTCAGTTTGAATCTTCCTATCTTAATTTAGGGAACTATCCTCTATCATTTACCAAGAAACAATAGAAACCCACCTGTATGCGGTTAGACATTAAGTATTAGTAAGTCAAAGGGCATTATCCTTTTGCATATTCAACTACACAAATAAGTAACTCGTATCCTAACCCCAGATGAATAACAAAAGTATGCAAAAATGTCTTTGTTAGGGAATACTGTATACCTTCTAAGTACCTTAAGTTCACCTATATGGCCCACATGGTGGTTAAGGTGTGAAGCCCTCCAGAATTTATCTTAAATTTGAAGACCTTGTTTAGACTAAAGGAGAAATAAAATGGCTGACAACCTGAGTCAACCACAAGATGGCAGCATGAATCTTTGAGAGGCATTGTGGGCCTAAATTGCAGGGAAGAACTACTTCATCCAAGTTCAGGATTAGAAGGGTGAAAGAAAAGTATTCAATTTCCTTTCATTTAAAGACCAACCTTAGAAGATGTTGTCCTTGCATCAAGTAGCACTATTAACAAAACTTCAATGAAACAATCAGGATCAACTTCCGGCTGATGGGAGCCCTTCAAAATCATTACCAGTGAAAAGTTGTTAGATACTGGGACATTTTACCGAGAAAAGAAAGCCCCCAAGAAGGGCTCTTTACAACTGAGGGCAGCTATTTGCATCTCCACAGTGCGCTGTCCATAGCTGAAAAACATTACCTCAGAACTTTTTAGATGCTGACACTGAAGGTATACCAGTCAATGTATGATTTTGTGGGGATGCTCTAGAAAATCATCGAATAAAAGAGTTGAACCGTCTTCTACATAGCCCCAAATCCTCTGAATCTTATCCTTCTACCACCATTTTCACATACACCATACATTTCAAGGTATATCAGGAAGTTGGGAGAAATTTCCTAATTTTATCAGAAGGAAGTATAAAGTTATGTGCACTTAGCAACGAAGTAGTTCATTGTATATTCTTAACATAATTTAAAAATACTGTAAAGGAACATAGAATAAGATGACAGTTCAGAACTTCTCTCTATGTGAATGTGAAGAGTCAGAGTAACAAATTAGACAATACATTTGGCAGCAGGGGTGGGGCGGATAGGCACCACAGTGGATGTTCGAGAGTAAGGTGGTGGATTAGAGCTGTCCTCAGGCCAACTCAGTAAGAAGAGTCACAGCAATGACTATATTCCAAGGAAAGAAGGAGGGAGAGCATCAAGAATCAATGAAGAGGTGAGTGGACTGCTGAAAAGCACAGAGAAACAGAAAGGCAGCTTAAACTAGGAAATGGTCCTTAAATCCAGTGGGACAGTTATTCTTCCGATGTCACAAATCAGCATGGCCCTCCCCTGTATCTTGTAATGTCGTAGGGTAGCCTGACACCATTATGAGAAGGGGTTGATTGAGACTGAGCTACTCCGGCCCTGTTTTAGACTGCATTTTTAAAAATTTGTGTGGGTGTG